AGGATGTGGAGGAAACAAACCTGGAGAACTATTAACACTTCGTCATCCAAAATCAGGTAATGTGATGTAGATTTTTTACAAGATTGCTATATTGCAAAAAAGCTTCAGTTAGTGACACGTTATGTGGTTTTTGATATCTTTGTTTATATGGGTAGAAAATGGAACTTGCTACCTTTTTAATAATGAGATGCTTCAAGAAATTCAATGGTTTAAGCAGTCATATGGTTCTTGGTTCCTGGGAGATTACATTTCTCAAGGTAAATTCCACTGTTGATTATTAAGTGTAGATGAATGCTTACCTCCTAGAGAATGCGAGGCTAGGAATGTTCATGACTCTTTTCTTGTTACAGATGGAAGCTTATATATGGCTACTCCGGTTGATCCTGTTTTCATCTTGTTGCCTGTTTTCGACCAAGCAAGAATGAAGGTCACTCACTCTGTGCTCCATGGCTCTTCTCAATTCCCTATTATTTTCTCTCTGACTTTGGAAATGTTAATTGTCGATCTGTAGAAAGGTGATGATCCTGGAAAGTTCAGGCAACTGGATGAGATTTTGTTTGTGGAAGGGTTTCCTGAGTATCAACATCTGTTGTCACTTGCAGAGAAGTGTATGGAGATCGTTTGTCAAACTCAAGGTAAATTGTTGTTCTGTGGTTTCGGAAAACATGGTTTCACACACTTGACTGAAGCGCAATTTTCAGATTTCTTGTAGACACTTTTAATCCATGCGTGTAATCAAAATGCTTCTCATCACTCTTGGATTGCTTGTAGACATCTATACATTTAATCAAAATCCATTTTATCACTCCTGGATTGCTTGGTGATCTCTAGTTGTTCATTTTCCTTATTCCTGTTTCGTCTCTTCTTGCAGAGGTTGGATCTATGAAGTTCTATCGGCTGGATAACTCGAAAGTCTTAGCTTGGTTAACTTGTAAGGTATGCTCTCGTCAGAACATGATTCATCCCAGCCTTTTCAACGATCCAGTTTCTTGATACCGTCACCATTTGAAAGTGATACATGCGTCTGAATCACTATGTTTTGAGCACCGCATATGTTTCAAGAATGGGGCATGTGTAATCCCTATGTCTTTTTTGAAATTGTGCTTAAAACGCTAGAGTTTAAGGCTGCACACTCTAACTTGTTTGTTTTCACATTCTGTCATTCTTGTCTTTCTGTTTTATGCATACTTATCGTGCCTGCATTTTAATGAACGCAGGTGCGCTGTTTAAAGAAGACTCTACCAGCATTGGACAAGAACTATGCAGCCCAAGAAGAGAAACAAACATGTAAGTTGTAGAACAGACTTCATTTACTTGTGTTTTTGATTCCAGAAACGGTGTGAATTTCAGAAAGTGTTGGTATATGCCTTTTCGTGTCATTGACCCTTCAAGAGGTGATGTTATATGGCTTTTGACGTGTATCTCCTTCAATACGTACAGTGGTGGATGCAGTTTCAATTGTGGGAGAGTACCTGAAGACAGAGCCTTGGTTGAAGCTTCTCTATGAGCATCTTGGGTACCTTTTTTCTTTTTAAAAATAGAGTCGGAAATCCCTCAGTCACTTAGCATAAGAGAATCATAAGTCCTTACAACGTTGTTGATTATGTCATGCTTATCTTGCAGACTCGAGTTTGTTGACCCAACAACGAAAGAAACCAATACGGAGACCTTTCCAAATGCAAATGAGAATAAGATGGAATACTCACATTCATCCCAGGTGTGTGTATGTTTCATTTCACAAACCTGTAGGCAATAAGTTTTCATATCGTTGGTGTTCCTTGTTCTTGTTGACTTAAAAAAAAATGTCTTTTGTTCTAACATTTATTAGGAGAAGGGAAACAAGAAGCCAGGAAAACCTGGAAAAGTGACAAAACAAGCAAAGGTAGAGACAGGATCAAAGAACATAAGGGATATGTTTTCAAGGGCTTGCAAGAAAAAGTGCTGAAACTATCCAGCTATTTATGATTGTTATTTTCAGCTATCAGATGATCTCTTTGCTTAGCCAGCAACATCTTAAGCAAAGACATACTCACATTTTATTTGGATTACATATTTCTAACTAGTGTTTGCTTAATTAGCTGAAATATGTATTACACTTTGGTACAAGATCATATATGAAAACCATTGTAAACTCAAAGATCATAACAAGTACTATTCGTTTGCTCTCCGTTTCAACATTATTTGTGATTCCTTAGGGAGTTACTAATGGGCCTATGGGCCTATGGCTTTCCTAAAGTAATTAGGATGAATTAATCAGATTCTTTCTCTCAATTGAAAGTAGTCTCTTCTCTTTCAGGGTTTGATCGATTCCAATTGCAGTTTCTGGTTAGTTTTATTCACCCTTTTGCTATTGTAGTTGGAATAGACTCTGGTTCCTTGAAAATATAATTGATTTTGCTCCCATCATAGTTCAGACAGAGTAATATTAACTTTGCTAGTTTGTTAGTTTGGATCTGTAGTTGGAACACTCCTCTTGTGCTTGGTTTTAAAGTCTCTTTCTGGATTGAAGATTCTCTTACTGTTTCTAATTACTAAAACCAAGTTTGATTCTTGATATATAGCCATGGAGTTAGAAAGCTTCAGGGTAGGTCTTACCCCTACAGTCTTCTACATTCCTGGTTTCATTACTGACCAAGAGCAAACTCAGCTCCTCGATCAGGTAATCTCCTCTCCTAATCTTTTGCATTTGAGACATCTTCATTTATGTTAACATTAAGTACCCATTTTTGCTGTCATGTTTAAAGATATATGGAGGATCTGGTTCCAAGTGGAAGACATTAAAGAATAGAAGATTACAGAACTGGGGTGTGTTGTGAGCAAACTTTCATACACTTGCTAATTTTCATTACATTTTGTTTGTGTGAATGTTTTGAAGTAACAAAAAAAAGGCCTTGAGCTTTTGTTCATTCTGCAGGTGGTATGGTCCATGAAAAGGGTCTTGTTCCACAAGAATGTAAGTAAAAACATCCAATCATCCTTTTGATTATTTAAATTCTAGGCACTCAAAAGAGTTTATATACATACCTTTCGCTTTGTTTCAGTGCCTTCTTGGCTGACAAAGATCACCACGAAAATTCATGAAAGCTCGGGTTTATTCCCTTCTGCTATAAATCATGTCCTCATCAATGAGTACCATCCTGACCAAGGGATAATGGTATGTCATCCGTCTTCTCAGTGTTTCCAAATCTTCATACTTGAATGGTTTTTAATGTTTGTTATCCGGTTTTAGTTTTCTGTTATAAGTTCATGACCAAGTTTTGTTACTTCCATGGTTGTTTTCTTCTCTACAGCCACACCAAGATGGACCCGCTTATTTCCCTGTTGTAGCTATCTTGTCTCTAGGCTCACCTGTCGTTATGGACTTTAGTCCGCATTTGAGATTAAGATCATCAGCAGACGATGATGACATTTCCAGCGATCAAAGTGGCAAAAGTGGTCTGTCTGAGAGAGATAATCAAAACTCGTTCTCTGTTTTGATGATGCCTCGAAGCCTACTAATCTTCAAAGATGATACTTACTCAGGTAAATGCCTCATCTCTGTAAGCTTAACCCGGAACAGTCCGTTATAATCATATTATCTTGTCTCGTTTTCAGATTACCTCCACGGCATTAGCGACAGTCCAACACAATGCTACAAACAGGTGCACAACACAAAGCTCCTTTTCATATAAGAACATGATCATCCCATTAGTGAACAAGACACTGATTATACTGTGGTCTTTCCTGTTCAGGTCGTTAATGAAGCTGAAGCTTCGGCTTACTCTAATGGAGATTCAAGCAAAGACGGTGACAAGATTCTCCACAGAGACCAAACTCGAGTTTCACTTACCTGCCGTTTAGTCCCTAAAGTCCATAAGAATCTCTTCAGGTTTTAGAGAAAACAAAACAGTGTACTAGTTTACCTTCCGACCTTTGGATGTCTTACCGTTTATGACTGGAAAAACCGGCACGATTTGTAAACGCAGAACCCAAAACGGTACGATTTGCGTTTGTGAAGAGATAAAATTAAATATGAGCCCTACATTTATTTTTATTTTTCTTGTGAAGAGATAATAACAATACAGTCTCACTCTATCTTCTCCATCTCCACCAAATCTCAAACCCTAGATTCTCCTCTGCTTCTCCCATGGCGATATCATCTCCTACCTACTCTAGACTCCTATGTTCCTACTCCTCCCCTTCTCCACCTTCCCTCTCTCCCGCCATTTCCACCTCCACTAAACTCAAAACCCTAAACCTCTCCTCCTCCTTCCTCCCTTCACACTCCCTCTCCACCCCGACCTCCTCCTCTTCCTCCTCATCCCACTCCACTCGCCGCTCCTTCACAATCCGCGCCGCGCGCGGCAAATTCGAGCGCAAAAAGCCACACGTCAACATCGGAACAATCGGCCACGTGGACCACGGCAAAACAACCCTAACCGCCGCCCTCACCATGGCCCTCGCCTCCATGGGAAACTCCGTCGCCAAAAAGTACGACGAGATCGACGCCGCGCCGGAAGAAAGAGCCCGCGGAATCACAATCAACACCGCAACCGTCGAGTACGAGACCGAGAATCGCCACTACGCCCACGTGGACTGCCCCGGACACGCCGATTACGTCAAGAACATGATCACCGGAGCCGCGCAGATGGACGGAGCCATCCTCGTCGTCTCCGGCGCCGACGGACCTATGCCGCAGACTAAAGAGCATATCCTTCTCGCTAAACAAGTCGGCGTGCCGGATATGGTTGTATTCCTCAATAAAGAAGATCAAGTCGACGACGCGGAGCTGTTGGAGCTCGTGGAGCTAGAGGTCCGGGAGCTTCTGTCTTCCTACGAGTTTAACGGAGATGATATCCCGATTATCTCCGGCTCCGCGTTGTTGGCTGTGGAGACGCTTACTGAGAATCCTAATGTGAAGCGCGGTGATAACAAGTGGGTGGATAAGATTTACGAGCTGATGGATGCTGTTGATAGTTATATCCCTATCCCTCAGAGACAGACGGAGTTACCTTTCTTGTTGGCAGTTGAGGATGTGTTTTCGATCACGGGGCGTGGGACTGTGGCTACGGGGAGGGTTGAGAGAGGGACTGTGAAAGTTGGAGAGACTGTTGATTTAGTTGGTTTGAGGGAGACTAGGAACTATACTGTTACTGGTGTTGAGATGTTTCAGAAGATTCTTGATGAGGCGTTGGCTGGGGATAATGTAGGGTTGTTGCTTAGGGGAATTCAGAAGGCTGATATTCAGAGAGGGATGGTTTTGGCTAAGCCTGGGAGTATTACTCCGCATACTAAGTTTGAGGCGATTGTGTATGTGTTGAAGAAGGAGGAAGGTGGGAGGCATTCTCCGTTTTTCGCGGGGTATAGGCCTCAGTTTTATATGAGGACGACGGATGTTACGGGGAAGGTGACGAAGATTATGAATGATAAAGATGAGGAGTCGAAGATGGTTATGCCTGGGGATAGGGTGAAGATTGTGGTTGAGCTTATTGTGCCTGTGGCTTGTGAGCAAGGGATGAGGTTTGCTATTAGGGAAGGGGGGAAGACTGTTGGTGCTGGTGTTATTCAGTCTATCATTGAGTGATGATGGCTAGAGAGTTTCATGTAGTGTGAGCAAATCTATAATCTACTTTGCTTTCTTTTTGTTTCCTGTTGATTCGCGGAACTCTTTTTTTTTTGGTGCCATTTTCTGTAAGAACTTGAAGTCAAAATGTCATATATTTCTTGATTTCCTGATTCTTTAGAATTCTTGCATTTTTTTTATTATTTCGTATTTCAGTAGGAAGAAGAAGATCAGTCCGTATTGTGAAATGAATTTTAAACTTAAGTAAACCAGTAATCGCATGTATCATCATCCTTCAACTGTGATCCTTTAATGATGACCTGTTTATATATTCTTTGGTTTCTCTTTTGGTTTGAGCTGAGGCTTTTGATTTAGATCCGTGAAGATTAAAAAAAGACCAAAAAGACACCTTACCGTCACTGGCACAACTGGTCTGGATGGGATTTATTTGCAAAGTTGATGATTGACAAAAGTAAAGTGTGTTCGATTTAAACTTGTTTGTTGTATATTATACAGAATTCTCAGTAACAGGAAGCTGCTTTCTTTTGAAGCATGAAGAAGGTTCATGTCTCTCAGATTCGTCGTAGTGAAGCCAATCTCCTCTCTAGATCATCCACTTCAGTAGATTCCGAGCTGCAAGAAGAATTGAACATGAAATGAATTGAATTATGTATTCCAAAACTCTTTCTAGATACAAAGTAAGGACTGATTTGGTCAATGTACATACTCGTTCTTGTCATTGACTGTAGTGGGAGCAGCAGCCGTTTTTGTAGTAATCCGGCCCTTTGGAGCTGAAGATAGCTGTTTATAAAAAAAGCAAAAAAATCACATTGATTTCATTGATTAACTCAGCCAATAACTAATCAAGAAAAACCAACCTGAGATGCAACACCAACACCAATCTCATCCAGCACCTATAAGAACGACGCAATACAAAGGAATGAGTTAGATACAGGAAGCTTGGAGAAAACTAACGAGGTGTGTGGATATATTAATCTTGCAGTAACTAACCTGGTTAGTGAGATCTTCAGTTTCTTCTTCAGCTTCGTCTTTGTCAAGTGTTTCATCGATTGCCTCTGACATCATCTCTATCTGTAAAACCACACAGAACAAACATGAGACAGACAATCTTTGCAGTTACACCAAAAGTTCAGAGTATGATGCTCTTTTATGAAATGAATAGAGATAGTGTCTACAGTCATATCCAGCTGTGCAGACTGCTTCTGGAATTCTTTGATCACTTTAGCTTGTTTGGTCGGTGCCATTTGCTGAAAACGTGAAAACAACAGAGTAAAAGATATGTCAAAAAGTGAGAGGAACCATCACAGTGGGAAATGAAGCAAAAAAAAAAAGTGTAATCATCACTACCTTGTTCATTGCAACCATGGCTGTGGTTGCACCTTTCATGCCTGAAGAGATTGAGGTGCTTGCATACAAAGCCTATGCATTATTATAACCAAACTAGCAAAGTAAGTTCATAATGGTATTATTGAAGCATGTGAAGATGAATGGGGAAAGAAATGAAGAAAGTTAACCTGTGTATGAGTGGTTACACCCCGGATTTGAGCACGGCTTCCTTGCAAGTTGGTGATCTGTTGCCTCAATCGAACAAGTTGCCGAGCTAAGATCTTGGTGGCCGCCTATAGACAGAGTTATATCAAAACAAAAGGAAGCTTATTAATGTCTAAGAGAAGATTCTTGAACCCACAAGCAAGTAAACACTAGTAAAGAACAGTGAAATAGGGATACAATCCTCTACAGAATTAACAAGCCTAAGCACCTAAAAACAGTAACGTTTGTTTCACTAGACAAGTTTTACCTCATTTCCAGTTTTAGCTGTTTGCTTGATTTCTGCCACAAGCCTCTTCTCCTAATATGGCCATGTAAGTAAAACCGTCAAAGAGTTACTAATGTAAACAGCATCTCAGGTGATGAAAATTCAAAGAATATAAAGTTGGCAGAAGATGTCATTTTACCTCTAACTGAAGAGATGTAATCTCACGTTCAATACCTGCAATCACATTGAGAAAAATAAAAATCCAAAAACATGCAAATAAACTTAGCTTTGGAGCTTGACATTTGCAAGGAGAGATGAAATAATACAAGGAAACAACCGCAGCTAACATCACATGATTCAAAACTTCTCTAGACTCAAAACTAAAGGAACAAAGAACTGATTTGTGCTTCTTTTGCCAACTAACTTTGATCAAAGGGATCCACTAAGATCCAAGAGAAGAAGCAAGGACATGGAAAACAGTCTTTTAGAACATAGGAGGACATGTTCATTTGCTACACCATATCGTTTAAAATCACATACCACGTGTAGCCACAGCCATTTCTCGCTTGCTGGTGCGGAGAGCATCTGCATAAGAGAAACGATTTTTCAATAGAATCAAAAGCAGAGTTTTGGATCAAATTAGAAGATCACAACATTATTCAGATTCACTGCTCCTCAAATGTTAAAGGTGACAACTTTGCAGAACTAAACTAGAGCTATGGTATAGACCACATCGTCAGGGTTTCAAGCACAGGTAGAAACATAAAAAAGGCTATTAACGAGAGTGTATAGGTGACAGATGAGTTCACCATCAGGATCCGAAATTTCCAAAAAAAAGGATCAAGCTTTTACCTTTAGGAGTGGTCTTCTTCTTGAAAATGTTCATTGGCTTTTGGAATAGATGGAAGTGAAGTTGATCTCTATACGGAAAGACAGGAGAAGAGTGTGGAGTAAAGGTGTGTCCTTTAGTTTCTTCCCTCAGTCGTTATTTTTCTGAGTATAAACGTTTTTCTTAACAAAAAAGGTTTTAATGTTCGTCTAGTCATAATAATAACGTTTCAAATTTACAAAATTTATTAATTTTTATATTACATGACTATTAGTATTCTGGAATTATGATTGATTAAATGGTTGTTAAATAAATAATTAATAATATTTAAATTTTAAAAGTATAAAAAATTTATGTGCAAAATCATAAAAATATGAATATAAATATAAAAAATTATGTGCAAAATCATCAAAAGATTTCAATGGAGTATTACTTAAAACAAAAAATATATTCCTTCTGTTTAAAATTGATCCATGTTTTAATAAAAAAATTAAGATATTAATTATTTTTACTGAATTTTGATTGATTAAAAACCATAGAAAAATAGCTAAACACAGAAAATAATACATTTATTATCAAAAATTTATGTGTTTTCTTAACAAGTGTAAAAACTCTTTTGAAGCAGAGGAGTAAAAGTGATTTGGGTAATTTTTTTTTTTTTTGGACAATTGTAATTTGGGTAATTTAACTCCTCATCTCTTTAGGTCCTCCCTAGTCCAAAAACTTGGTTTTGTTGATTAGTAAATATGCCGGTTCGGATTGAACCAAAAAATTTGATCAAGTCTGATCAAAAAGAAATTGTGTCATTATGATTGAAACTGTTTTCTTCCTCCGTTACTTGGGTGCATGAAAGCAAAGGAAACATTCGTAGGAGTGGGGACAAGTGGTGAAGAAGACTCATGTACTGAATTTTCAGTAACATGAGACTATTCAAAACACTTAAAATTAATTGACGTACCTTTAGCCTAAAAATAAAATAAATTAATTTACGTAAGCAATGACCATCTATTGGGATCTATTTATTTTAGTTAACAGCAGCTGATCGCTACGTTTGAACCGCTGTTTGGAAACAACCAGAAGCGCGTGTTAAGACCGCATTTTGATTATTATTGTCTTCAGACAGACCATGCTTTTTGATGTTAAAATAAATTAAAATAATAATAAAAAGATGGATTAAAAAGAAAAATAAAATAAAAGAGAGAGATAAAATCGGAATCTATTGTCCATTTCTCAATTTGGATTGGCCTCTTTACATATCTAAGCTCTTATTAGAGTTGTCCGGTTCTGCAATCGGATCCCTTCTTCCCCATCTTCCAAATCGGTATGATCAAAGATCAGATTTTGTAATCTCATAACTGTTCTGTTTTAATTCATATAAAGTTTCATGATTTGATAAATGGATGCAGAAGCTTTTTTGGCTTTGAATTGGATTTTGGGTTTCAAAGCCAACTCCTTTAATCTTCTTATCATCCCTTTGGAGAAATCAGGTGAGTCCTTTTGTTTTAGGTTTCTTGATTTGATGCAATGGCACCACATGCATAAAGTATTGGTTTTTGGATTTGAGTTATTGAGAAATGATAAGCGTTTTTGTTCTGTTTTGCTGATTTGATTCTTTTGGATAAAAACCAAAAGCAGATATGCAGGACCAGCTGGTGTGTCATGGCTGTAGAAATACATTGATGTATCCTAGAGGAGCTACCAATGTTCGTTGCGCGTTATGTCACATTGTCAACATGGTCCCCCTTCATCCCCCTCCTCCTCCTCATCATCATGGTATGGTATCTCTATCCCTTACCTTGTGTAATTTGCAGATTTTGTTTGAGACATACGCTTTGGTTGAGTTCTCAAGTTTTGAACACACAGCTCATGCAGGGATGGACATGGCTCACATTGTATGTGGTGGTTGTCGAACTATGCTTATGTATACTCGTGGGGCTAGTAGTGTAAGATGCTCTTGCTGTCAGACTGTCAACCTTGTCCCAGGTATATAAGCATCTAGAATCTGTCTTTGTTTCATCTGTTGAGATGCTTTCATAACTTCTTGTCAATTTTTCCCAACATGTTATGTGAAATTTGGTATTTGTAGAGTAGATGACAATACTTTAAAAAAAAAAAGAGAAAGTCTTTAGATGATATATGTGTGGGCATGTGGCCTACATGAACACTTTGTTTGATTTACAATTAGATTTTGTTACCCTTTGGATGTATGATTCTCTTTCTTTTATACATTTTGCCGAAGAACGTTGGTGACTTCGTTTTGTTGATTATACATCTCTTGCTTCTTGAATTTTCTAGTCTTTGTTCATCTGTGTTGAAACTGTGCTTGACCTTTTGTGACAGGACCCCCACCGTCCAATCAGGTTGCACATATCAATTGTGGGAACTGTAGGACGACACTCATGTACCCTTACGGTGCATCATCTGTTAAATGCGCTCTTTGCCAATTTGTTACTAACGTTAACGTGAGTACTTCCTTTCTCTTCTCCATGGGTTGAGTTAAATGTGCAGAAGATCTTTCTATTAGGAGTTAATTCTCTGATACTGCTTCAGCAGATGAGCAATGGAAGGATGCCTCTCGCAACTAACCGACCAAATGGAACAGCTTCTCCCGGGACAATGCCCTCTACATCCACTGTGAGTTTATCAGATTTTATGATTTTGTAATAACCCGTTAGATTCTTATGGAACTGAGTACTTACTTACTCTGTTCATTGGTTTTTTCCTTCTCCAGCAATCAACACCACCATCTCAGACACAAACTGTCGTCGTAGAGAACCCAATGTCCGTTAATGAAAGTGGAAAGTTGGTGAGTATTACTATCTTATCATGTAGCTTGTTCGTCTTACATACACATTAGAAAAAAAGGTTTGACACCTACATAAATTGCAGGTGAGCAACGTTGTGGTTGGAGTGACAACAGGACAAAAATAACTTTGAAGAATGATTGATCTGAAAGAATCGATTTCGTCTATCCCTGCGTCTGGTTTGTGCATATTACATACTGTTGATGAACAACTGTTTTTTGTTAAAAAAAATTGATGATCACAAAGGTTTTTGGTTCAGTAATCTGGCATTTCTGTTTGTTGACTCCATTGACCATTTGTGGCATTGTTAATGTATGTATTAATATAATCTGATACACCAACCAAACATTAAGATTTGAGTCTTGAAATCTGTTTTCTTCTGTGAATAGGAAGTGTTTGCTTCATGAAACTAGAACAGGTCAAGAAACTGATCTTATTCTTACCTTTTGGTAGATTAGTTAACACTGCTCTTAAAGCAAATCTCGGAATCTGTAATTTTGTTTTTACAACAACCAAAACTTAATCAATACGCTCCACAAATATCAAGAGTTAGAAGATCAGACAAAACGTCTCAAACAAGACAGAACTCTTTCCATATAAATCCTCTGTATACGTTTTGACAGAGATTCATCACTTACTGCACCAGAGAGCTGGAAACTTCTCTTGTGGTTAAGAATATTTGCATTCATGACTACTTCAGCTGCAGCCATTGTAATTTCACTGAACAAAGAGACAAAAGACCTTGCTTGTAGCCACTTTAACCTCTAAGTTTAAGCACACACCGGCTTTCCTGTAAGATTTCAAAACCCTATAAAGGTTCGATACCTCTGTAGAAGCTAAGCAAAATGAGTTAAGTTATTGTTATTAACAGTTTGTGAAAGATGTGTTACAGTCTAGTGTAACGGTGCGCTTCCACAACCTCAAGATCGTTTACTTTTGTGTGGTTATTACATAAAATAAAAACTACATTTTGGCTGCTTCTTTTTAACTGCTTTATAATATTATTTCTTAGACCAGACTCCAAGATAGCTCTCTCTCTTTTGGTCATGGTTGCCCTAATAAACTCTGCACTATTTTCTCTTTTCTAAAAAAAAAAAAACAAAAAAAAAACAAAACCCCTCTTTAATTTTCACAGATAATTTTAGATTATATACGTTACAAAAGCAATTTCAACTCAACTTGTCACTCTTTGAGATAACTTGTTCGGATTCTTAGCCCCTTCGCAAAGGTACTCACTCATCTTCCTCCTTTAATGGCTGTACAGAAGTAGATCTTTTCTTTTTTTTGGGCTTTTAAAGAATCTTTATTACTCGTTTTGGTACAGAGTAGGTTTTCTTAAAACCAGATCAGCGGTTAATTGCGTGAATAATTGAGTTGGGTTGTGTAAAGTTTCTTCCTTTGAGGGATACTTGTAACTGGGCTACTCTCAGATTCTGTTTTTTTTGCTTCTTGTCTTAAGACAAAGCTTTATGCTTTCTGGGTTTGGTTTCTAGGGTTTTGAAACGGCACTTGGCATTTCAATCAAGTGAGGATTTTGTTTGAACAGATCTTATTATTTTGTTAGGTTGCTGGTATAAAGTCTCGGGCTTTGTTAATGGAGAGTTCTGCATCTCCAGCAGGGGAGTCTTTGGCTATGGAGGTTTGTCTTCTTATCCTTTTGCTTCTTCATGTTTGGTAGATTTGATCTGGTTTCTTTAGTTCTGTTACAGTTTCTGAATGTGGAGTTTTGTAATTTTACAGGTTGATTCTGAGAAACAAGAGATTAAAAGAGATAGTAGCCCTGGACCTGACTCTACTCCTCCTAGTCCTAAAGTAAGCAGAAATGATTAATATCTCTCTCTCTTTAGATAACTGTGTGTCAAGCAAGTATTGGATGCCATGTGTTTGCTACACAGGCTTTAGCTTGATTCTAACCAGCTCTGATTTGGACCAAACTATCTGTCTTCGCAAATTTGAGTTTCTGAGAGTGGTTCTTATACGTCTGCCTGATATTTAGCAATCCAGTCACTTGGTTCCTGAGAATTTATCAATTTCTCTACAAATCTCATGTTCTAAGATTCTTTTTGTTCGGTTTATTTTCTTCCTATTTTCTACGAATAGATGAGCATGATTACTGACTAATGTTGTTTTGTATTGTTTTTGTTAATGGAGAAGGTTACATCTCCAGCAGCAGAGTCTTTGGCTATGGAGGTTCTCTTCTTATCATTTGCTTCTTGTAACCTCTAGTTTTCATGTTTGCTACATTTCATCTGGGAGATGCTTCCCCTCTTTCTTTAGTACTGTTCTGAATGTGGGATTTTGTAATTTACAGGTTGATTCTGAGAAACAAGAGATTAAAAGAGATAGTAGCCCTGAACCTGACTCTACTCCTCCCAGTCCTAAAGTAAGCAAATATGCTTAATACCTCTCTCTTTCTTCAAGTAACTGTGTTTCTAGCTAGTATTGGTTAGGCAAATATGATGGATTTTATGTGTTTGCTACAAATGTTTTTGCTGGATTCCAACCAGTTCTGATTTGGACCAAATTCCTCGTCTTGCTTATCTATCTCATGTTCTTTTGTTATGTCTTTGAGGTATCTGCTAAATGGAATCCATCAGAAGCTTGCAGACCCTCGGTTGATGATGCTCCTATATTCTATCCCACTAATGAGGTATCTCATAAAACCTAGATGCAGTTTTGGTCATTCAAGGTTTATCTCTTTGGAAGTTTTCATCCTTTTAATGCTTTCATGTTCAGGACTTTGAAGATCCACTTGCTTACATAGAGAAGTTACGCAGCAAAGCAGAACTATACGGCATATGTAGAATCGTGCCACCTGTTGCATGGAAACCTCCCTGCCCTCTGAAGGAAAAAGAAATATGGGAGAAGTCGAAATTCCCCACTCGGATTCAGCTGATTGACTTGCTTCAGAACAGAGAACCAATTCAAAAGTCTCCCAAAAGCAAGAAACGAAAACGGAGAAGAGTCTCCAAAGTTGGACACTCAAGAAGAAGAAGAGACTCAGGCAGTGATGATGATGATGATTCCCCTGAAGATGCTGAAGGGAAATTTGGTTTCCAGTCTGGGCCAGATTTTACCCTGGAAGAGTTTCAGAAGTATGATGAATGCTTTAAGGAATCTTATTTTCAGGTAGAGAATGGTTCCAAAGCTTCTGAGAATAAAAAATTTAAACCTAAGGTTAAGGATATCGAAGGTGAGTATTGGCGGATAGTGGAGCAAGCAACTGATGAAGTAGAGGTATGTACAAGCTGCAATGTGAACGTTTCACCAGTTTCTTTGCATGATTTTTTTTTTCTGAGCTGCTGCTACTCTTGTTTTTGAGCCTATGACAGGTGTACTATGGAGCTGACTTGGAAACGAAGAAATTTGGAAGTGGTTTCCCAAAGTATTCACCAGAGTCTCTTAAAAGTTTAGAAGAACATCAATACTCTATAAGTGGTTGGAACCTAAACAACTTATCGCGTCTCCCCGGATCTGTTTTAGCTTTTGAGAGCTGCGATATCTCAGGAGTTATTGTGCCATGGCTTTATGTTGGAATGTGCTTTTCAACTTTTTGTTGGGTAAGTTACACTTTTCTTTACGATAGCCTCTTGTTAAATTATAGCATTGGTTACGCGAAGTAACTCTTTTTGGACCAAAGTTATGGAATTGATGCATCTTTACTGTGCTTTCTAGGATCTATGTACTAACCATCTGCAATCTGCTCCATACTTTGTTTGAAACAGCATGTTGAAGATCATCACCTGTATTCCTTGAACTACTTACACACGGGTGATCCAAAAGTTTGGTATGGGATCCCTGGAAACCATGCAGCGTCCTTTGAAAACGCAATGAAAAAACTTCTTCCAGATTTGTTTGAAGAACAGCCTGACTTGCTACATCAACTGGTAAAAAGCTTATCCCAATTGGTTTTTCCATTTCAATCTTTGCTCACTAATTAGAACTCTTTACTTATGTAACTCTGGAGATAATATGTATGTCATTCTGTGCCTCCTATTTTTTTTATAGGTCACCCAGTTATCTCCAAGCATCTTAAAAGAGCAGGGAGTACCAGTCTATAGAGCTGTCCAGCGCAGTGGAGAATTCATTCTAACTTTTCCCAAGGCCTACCACTCTGGGTTTAATTGTGGTTTCAACTGTGCAGAAGCAGTAAATGTTGCACCAGTTGATTGGCTGGTTCATGGACAGGAAGCAGTGGAAGGCTATAGCAAGCAGCGGCGAAAGAGCTCATTGTCACATGACAAGCTTCTTCTTGGAGCCGCTCTGGAAGCTATTTATTATCTCTGGGAGCTGTCAGTTACAAGGAAGAAGACCCCCGTGGTTGCGAGATGGAAAAGAGTTTGTAGTGAGGATGGATTGCTGACCAAGGCAGTCAAGGTAATTCTTTTTCTCTTGTTCTTTTCCGTGTGCTTACGTATATATATGCATACATGTACTAATATAGCTAATGTTAGCAGAAGCGGGTGGAGATGGAGGCAGAAAGACTAAACCAACTTGGGGATAGTTATAGCGTGGTAAAGATGGAGGGGGATTTTGACATTAAGAGAGAACGAGAGTGCTTCTTGTGCTTCTATGATTTGCATATGTCTGCTTCAAGCTGCAAGTGTTCTCCCAACCGATTTGCATGTCTTACCCACGCTAAGGACCTGTGTTCATGTGAAAGCAAGGAGAGATTTGTTCTTCTTCGCTATACACTGGCTGAGTTACAATCACTGGTCAGAGCTCTGGAAGGTTATCCCGATGCCATAGAAGCTTGGGCACGTATAGGCCGGGACCAGAATCCTTCACAGGAGCAGAGAGCAAAAGAAGCCTTGGACCTCAAGAGCACCTCCTGTTCAAAGAGTCGTGGTTCATCAAAAACACAGCAACAAAGTGATCTAGTCATAAATAAGGAAGTTCAGTTGAAACAAGATGATGATCAAGATGTACATGGCATCACTACTAAGTCAGCTGTCACTGATGTAAAGCTTGGTGAGATGGGTAAGTCTGATGAGAAGAGGATTGCGGTTAAATCTCAAAACCCACATTCAGGTTCAGATGTAGGGTGTAGCGAGCCAGACGCTGCAACCAATAGGTTAAGTCACTCTGTTGAGCTTTTGAAGTCTGGATCTCTCGTTGTTAAGAAGCTGTGGTGCAGTAAGCAAGCCATATACCCAAAAGGTGAGATAAATTGAATATGATGAGTTTACTTTAGCATTGTTTATACCTTCTAAGACTTTTGCTTTTGATTGAGTTTTACAGGATTCAAGAGCCGTGTTAAGTTCATAAGCGTGCTTGACCCGACAAAACTAACTAACTACATCTCAGAGGTTCTGGATGCAGGGCTTGCTGGTCCACTATTCAGGGTAGGGAACCCTTATCATGTTATGGTTTCAGGAATATTGACTAAAATCTTGTGGGGAAAGACGACAATACTGATCTTTTGTTATGTTTTTCAGGTCTCACTAGAAGATTGCCCCAGTGAGAACTTCTCGAATGTATCAGCTGAGAAGTGCTGGCAAATGGTGATACAAAGGCTTAAACTCGAAATCATCAAGAGATGTGATCAACCAGCTAGCTCCTTGGCCGCTTTACAGGCTCTGGAGAATATTGGACTTGAAATGTTCGGATTCCTCTCCCCGCACGTTATTCAGGTAACACAGTCTCATACTTAGCCATAGAACTATGGTCTTTAATCTTTTGTCTCACTCCCCTTGAGCATCTTCCTTTTGCTTTGCGACCATTCTGAACTAAAGTTAACATCGTGCGCAGGCGCTCGAGGCTCTTGATCCAAAGCATCAGCTGGAGGAGTATTGGAACCAAAAAACAGCGAAAGTGTTTGGTGTTGAACTCACAAAGGAAGGAGAAAAAGAGGAAGATAAAGAGAAAGGAGGAGCTTCAGATCCTTCTATGGACCGGGACACAAGGCTTCTGCGTGGACTGTTGAAGAAGGCGACACCAGAAGAGCTAGCAATGATGCATGGACTTCTATGTGGTGAGACACGCAACACCGAGCTCCAGGAAGAGCTCTCCTCTTTGGTGGATAAGATGGAGAAAAGTCCTTGATGATGTCGTTCCCTGTGGTATGTGTTCAGGCTTCAGTCGTTATGTTGTATCAGTAAAGAGTAATCTAGAGAAGTAAACAAATGTAGACTAAAAAAGTGCGTAGGATTATTTAATGTACTCATGTGGGATCATTGTTCCTCTATTTCATTTGCTTGTACCAGCTTTAACTGAAGAAAAAGATGCGTTTATGCTAATAGACGATTTCAACAGATTGAAAAATGGTAGTAGTTGTATCATCTTTATTGTCAAATGAAATTTACCAGCCCATGTTAAAACCTGTATGAGCAGATGATTCTAACAAAAGACCATGTGGGTTTTTTAGTGGAGAAACAAGCACAAATCTGAACTCAGAGAGCCTTTAAAGTCGATCTTTCACACAACGAAGGTTTGGACTAAAATGAGAACTTTCTTTAAGTACTTTGGCTCGGACATAAGCAAAGTGTAGGAATCTGAATCTGTACAAAAGAGGTGAATCTTTAAGTGAGATCATCCTCGTCGAGATCATCACCAGCATTCATCTGAACTGCAGTAACATCTCCGGTAGGTAGCTTTCTCGCCAACTTGATGATCTGCAACACAAATACTTCTCCATATTAGATCTCGATTGTTTAATGGAAACGTTATACATTCTTCTCAATAACCAAACACAGAGAGACAGGGTTAGGATTAGGCAGATCATTTAAATGAATTACCACATGATCCAAATTGGAAACAGTGCTTGAACACGCCACTTTCTTGATTTCTTCAATGTCACCTTCATTATAGGCTGTGAGCAGTCTGCTAGCAGTTCGGTTCTGATCACTTTTCAGAAAAGCATCAATCCTACACACAAAAAGGAAAAGAAATTAAGATATAAGCACTAGTATAACATTTCCAAATACTGTTCGTGTTTCTTGTTTGCTGTAACAGACATGGTCCGGATATTACTAGCCATCGAACTACCGAGTGGCTGCATAAAGAGAGAAGAGTACTCACTGAGAACAATCATTGTAGCATTTTTCAGCCTGCTTCAGGTCATGACCATACAGATATACAATGATTGCACTAAGATATGCCTGAAATACAGAACAAAACAGTTAACTCAAACTAATCAGAGTGCAATGGAGTTGGAAAAAAAGATGAAACCAGATCACCCTATACTCATACCTTACACTGGCTATTTGTGGCGTCGCACTTGTCAGCTGCTACACCCAATCTTAAGAAAAAGGTTGCAGCATCTGCGAACCTACAATTTAAAAAATGTGTGCGAATCAAATTCTCTATTAGATAAATGGAAAAAACATTGTGATACCGCTGTTATCTAAAGCATAGAAAGCTTATTCTTTCACAAATTATTATCATGTCAATGTGAAATGAAACTTTAACCTGGGATGTATTATGAGGTAATCAAGAACTTACTTCTCGAGCTTTATGTAAACACTAGCACAAGCACGGTACAGATCAAATGCCATTTGGTCCCTCCCATCTTCTTCAAGAATTTCACAAGCATCAGTGTATAGTTGGATGGCAACTTCAGGTTTGACATCTTCCAAAGCACTGAAAAAATAAAATTATCGAGATTAAACAAAGGAGCAAGCTCGAGAAGTCACGCTCAGAAACACATTAAACGTCAGACTCAAATCACATGAAATCGAATTTCTTGATTATAAAAGACGTGCACATAAAATTTACCGAGCAGCCTTTCCAAGAGCATCTGATGCGGGTTGTGCCCTTCCACACTCAACATACAGCTCAGACGCCTTTTTGTAAAAATCAGCAACTTCGTCCCAGATACTTAGCTTCTGTGCTAGAGCAGCGGCAGACTCCATATGCTTTGCAGCATCCCAGGGACTAACTCATATCAAGGATAACACTAAATAATATGATCTCTGATATAACAAAATAACAACTAGCAGCAGATAATAATCATCTAAAAAGGGGTAATTTTGGGATACGACGATTGCATCACTTGTCCTTGCGAAGCTTTCTCAAGAGCCACTTTAGCTTTTTCATATTTGTTTGCTGCCCTAAAGCCATTTGCTGTACGATGAAAAAGAGTAAAAAAAAAAAGACAAGAACAAAATCAGTTTTCATTCCGGCATGAGAACAAACCTGCCACGCTTACAATATTTCTAGTCTCCAAGCTTTCACAGATTAACATTTTGGGATAACGTTGGCGAAAAAAAACCATTTTGGGATAACAAAAAAAAAGAATAACCAATGAATAACCAACCTGCTTGCTCATACAATTCAGTAGCACCTCTCCAATCAGCACTCCATCTAGTAAGCGTGAGTTTTGTCCTGTGAGCAAATTAATAACCAAAGATGCTTAGAAGGAAATCACTGAATTTAGGAATATCAAATTCCAAACAAAACAACACCAATTTGAAAGCAAAGACATGATCCATATCAAACCAATCAAAAATGACTTCTCAATCCTTGTCAAACTGGGAAGACAGACTATAACATTGCATTCTCATCATCAACTTTTAAAGCCAAAACATTTTACATTTACAGGAGTCTCCTTGATTCTATCAAATAAAAAGAGGTATTCTTAAACATAAAGCAATCTCAGCTTAATCAGCTCCAAGCAACAGTTACACGAGATCCTAAGATTCGCCTTTCCAACAAAAACCTCGATCGAATCATAAAGAATGGATCACTTTCACTGTTACAAATAGACAATCTCAAATCCTAAGAGCACAAATCATTTATATCCCTAAAACCCAGTTTTACTTGCACCGATCATTAACATCGTCAACATAAAATGGAGAGAGAGAAGAGGAAGAAGAAAGCAATACATCTTGTCGGCTTTGGACATCATCTTTTCAGGATCCGAAGACATGACTTTTGCCTCAATCTCAGTAAAACGTCCCTGCGATTTAGCTAACTCCGAGATCGATCTGCGCCACTCTCAGGATCAAAGGTGGGATTTTTAGCAAAAGATCTTCTATTTTTACTCATAAATAATTAGACTTTATCTTCCACATCTTTTAAAAAAAAAAAAAATCTTTTTTTTTTACATCAAGCAAACAAAAAAAAACAATGTTTATATTACATCATTTCTTCACTTATGTTCTGTCTGAGATTCTAATCTTAGTAGATTAGTTGAAAAGTAACAAACTTTATCAATAAAAATATAAACTTTATACCAAATTCAAACTTGCATACATCTCACATTCATTCTTTTATTTTATTTTTTTGTCACAATCATTCTTCATCAAGCTCATGACAATAAGCATGACTCTGTAGATTTTAGGTAACAAGTAGAACTCTCCTAACTCATCCCTAACACACATACTCTCCACTCTATAAAATCACAACACACCATTTGACTCCAAAACACCATCACCACAAATCAACTTCCCTCTCTGACCACAAAACAAGTCACAAGCTACAATGTCAATCTCAAGACTCTCTCTCTGCCTAATCTTCCTCACCTTCCTCACCACCCCACTTGTTCTCTCCTCTCGCACCCCCAAAATGTCTGTAGCAGGATCACCTTCAACAGAGAAGAATCTCCAGAAACCACATGTTCATCCTCCTTCACTGCCTGTTTCTGATACCACTGAGGTTATTGATTCATTTCCCTCCATGGCCAAGATTGATGCTGAGCCTGCAACAAACTCTGCTATATCCGGTTTCTTCAAGCATATATACCCATTCCAAGGCTGGCCTTTCCACAAGCATGGTCCTTTCCCAATCGTTAAGCCTGAGAATCCTTCTGTTACTACAACAACACCTGCTACTGGAGCTGAGGAAGCTGAATCTGAGAAGGTGCCTTCTCCTCCAAGCAATGGAAACAGAGAGGGTGGTGGCAACGCTTGAATATGAATACTACTAGAAAACTTTTATCCATATAGTTTTACATATTGTGTTAAATAAAAATGTAGCATGTACTATATAAATGCTATGTGACATTTTATTTTTACATGGGGATATAATGAAATGAATACAATTTAAAAAATCTTATATCTACCAAAGTTCATCTTATTTTCACTATAACAGAGACAGGGATATGAACAATGTGTCCCATGTTTCCAAATAGCTTGATTCTCCCAAAGCTTGCTATAGAGCTGTTCTTCTTTGCCTTTAGGGTTACGCTAAGTAGCTTTGTCTCTCCACTTGCTATAGAGAATTGAGTAGGAGATGCCTTCATCAAAACACCAAAAGGAGGAACTAAACTGACACTGTATGTCTCGTTCCCAGCGATGTTTTTCATTAGTCTTTGTACAGTCCGCGTGTTGTTTAGCCTTGAGACTGTGATGGATGGTAGATTGAGGTCAGAGCCGCTAAATGTTGCGTTTCTAAGCAAACAGCTCTTGCCTGTGTAGTTGAATACTGCTGGAGATGATCCGTTGATCCCACAAAGAAATGACATATAGTCTTCAAAACCTGCATACAGTTTCTATATGTTTAGTTATGTGAAAATGTGAAACACAGTCATTTTTGTAACTTACTAGTATCAAAGATTAGGCCAGGATCTAAAGCTGCGGTTGCATTCACAAATCCATTCCCCATATCAAATGGTGTTGCAGGAGTCATGCTTTGATCAGGATTAGCATAAGCACGCTGAGCCATTATCTCCTCTCCTTTGTTGTCAAACAGAACAGAGGTTGTTGAAAGTGCAGATGCTATGGCTGCAGGACTAAACTTTCTGAATTTCTGCTTGATCAATGCAGCCACACCAGCTACATGAGGAGCAGCCATGCTAGTACCAGACATCATAGCAAAACTCTCTCCTAACAAGATAAAAAGAACACAACACCATTAACTTCATGTATCCTATTGTCATGCCTTTAGAGATATTTATATACCTGCAAACTCAGTTGAATCTGTGGCAGCAGAACTCCAAGCTCCCCAAATGGAGTTTCCAGGAGCTACAAGATTAGGTTTCAAAATGTCTGCGTCGTTAAGAAAGCTATCTTCTGGATCAGGTCCTCTTGCTGAGTAGTACATAATCTTGGGAGCTCTGTCACTGAAGTTAGCCTTTTGTCCACCTGTAATGGCTGCAACTGCTCCAAATCTAACAATCTGCTTGGTGGTTGCATCTCTTTCAAGAGTTGAGTTATAGTACTTGAGTAAAACCTACAAAAAACATATTGTCATATCACTATCCTAGAAGCATCAAGTGGTATGTTTCTAGTTATATATTCTCACCTTGGAATCTTCAGGAGATGGAATTATAATCCCAGGCATATCCATTGGTGTAGGATTGATCTGAAAACCAAGAACATATGGATCCATGTAGAACACAACACCCTTTGCAGATAGATTTTTGGATACAGCTAAAGCTTGTTTAATAGTGGAAAGACCAAGCACAAAACGGATAGAGTAGCTACATATCATGAGATTCCCACTGACAAGATCCTTATCAAAGCTGTCATAGTCTTGGCATTCACTTGCATACATGTCTTTGTCTACTGCAGAGCTTTTGTTCTTCAATGCATCAACAGCAGAGACCATTGTGAACATCTTCCCTTCATCTGTAGGAACTAAAAAAGAAGATGCAAACAAAAACATCAGATCAAAAGCTAAGCCATTTTACAATCTAACTGATGGTTTTCTAAGTCACTTACGTGCAAGTCCTACACCTGGAATGGTTACATTGTTGCCTAAGGTTATTGAGTTAGAGTAAACTCTATCGTGAGTGGCAGCACCAACTGTGAAAATCCATGGGCTGAAGGAGGACATGCTCTTAGGAGAAGGACCTGTGTTTCCTGCAGCTTGCACTACGAATATACCTGCCTTAACAGCAGAGAGCATAGCCATATCTAGAGGGTTAAAGAAGGTGGCAACACCAGGAGGACGTCGGTTCGGAGTGATGGATAGACTTAATATGTCAACTCCATCTTGTGCTGCCTAAGAAAATTCATAAACCGCTAAAACTTGTCACTCAAAATTTACATACATTCTTATACTCAAGTGAAATGAGAAATGGTAGATACTTTACCTGGTCTATAGCAGCAACAACATCTGCAGCAAATCCGCCAAAACTCTTGTACAATGCCTTGTAAACAGATATGCTAGTACATACCAAACAACATACATAATCAGTACTCTCAATACAATATGAATGATAATGATGATCAAAATATGCATATATATACTTACTGTGCACGAGGGGCTATTCCACTAGCACTTCCAAAGTTATGACCAGAAACTACAGCTGAGACTCCATGGTTACCAGCAGCAATGGAAGCTGTGTGCCTGTTTATAATCAACATAACAATATTTAGCTTCAGTACGTGAATGATTCAACAACATTACAAACAAGTTAGACTTACGTGCCATGGCCATCTCCATCAAAAGGGGAAGCAAAGTCCTCAGATGAATTGAATATCCCTCTGGTAATAGCAGACTGTGCAAAATGGCGAGCTCCAACAAGCTTCCTATTACACGATCCTGATGGAAAGTCCGGGGTGACTTCACAAACACCTGAGAAGTGATGAGGGATGGGATACTGACGGTGAGAAGTGTCAGTGCCATTGAAGCTAGGGTGAGTTGGGTCAATGCCAGTGTCGATAAACCCTATAACAATCCCTTCTCCTGCAGTTTCATAGCCACCTTCTTTGACCCATGCACCTTTTGGTAGACCCATGAACTGTGGTGTGTAAGTAGTAGCCGTCCTAACTGAAAAATCCAACACTATGTTTGCTACTTCACTTCTCCTTGAAAGCTTCTCTGCCTTTTAGAAAGAAAGAAAAAAGAACTATGCATCAGCATCTTCTTCTTTTCATGTAATAGAAGCTCATGTAGATATGGTGTGATTAAAACTGTGTACCTGTTGTGAGCTAACAAACACAGCAAAGCCATTGATGAGATAATGGAAGCTATAAAGTTTTATGTACTTCTCTCCCTTCAATGCATCTTTCAGCAAAGAGTCATGAGCTTGAGAAATTGATGATCTCCTTGATCTCCAGTAACGTGACTTTGACATGTTTCTATAACCAGAGAACCAAAAATCAATACCAACAAGATTCTAAACACAACGATAGAGTGAACCCTTCACACACAAAAAAAAAAATTCAGTTTCTAGAGATGACAGTTAAGAAAATCATGCAATGCATGTAGCTAAAAGTGAGCTGTTTCTAATCTCATTCAGTGAATTCACTAACCAAAACCTGAATCTTCAAAATTCCAAAGAAAAGTTCAGTTACCTTGGTTGGAGTTTTGGTCTAGTAAACTTTGAAGTGTCTCCATGTTTGGATCTTTGGTGGTTTTTATCTCTGACTCTTCTCACTGCTTCTTGTTGTTGAAATATATGAAGAGTAGGAGCTTGACTGAGAGTAACAATGTAGACAGCCGTAGTAGAATTAGTATCAGAAGCATCACTATCTTGTCCCAAGGTGGTAGACAATAAACCAACACAGAAGACAAGAACAACCCCAAAATTCACCATCAGAACTCTCTTCATTTTTCACTCACTGATAAAAAAAACGCCACGAAATCCACCAATTGCTTAAGTAAGAAAAGAAAGAGAGAAAGTGAAAGAAGAAGAAGAGCTTATGAAGCAAACATGGTGGAAAAGTGGAGTTTGCAGAAAGAGAAGTTGTCTTTTATTTGTTTTTTTCCGTGTTGGAGAAGGTGAAAGGAGTAGTGTGCTGATTTATACTTGTTAATATATTTATATATATACACACAAGATTTGGATATTTTGAGCAGAAAGAAAAGCCCAAAACTCACGAGAGAATCTGATAGCTTTTCTTTCTTGGATTCTGTGAGCATTTTTTGAACGTTTTAAGTAAACATTACACGGTCCCATTAGGAGAGGACGAGCACAGTCTTATTGAAAAAAACACAGTTTTGCAAAATTTAGCTGTTGTAACTTGTCGGCTTGGACTCTTCTATCTTCCCCTTTTTTTTCCGTTTTTTATTACTTGTATCTAATTTTACAGATTTCACTGTTTTTTTAATTAGAAAAATGCAATAATAAAATGCAAATTTTCTTTACTTTGAACAAATCTCATAGAATCCAAACAGTCTCATAGAATGTAGAACTCGAATTCGTTAGATAAGGCATCACTCCGATTAAGAAATAAAACAATTAAGTAACGACTAGATTTTAGTATATGATTAAAGTGGCGGTAACAGCTTTTATTATATTTGTATGGTGTTTTAAAATCATTAAAAGCTGAAATTTAGCAATGGTGGGTGGGTCAAACGTGAAGAAGAATCATTACGAGTGCTAATGGGTCACACACCGTTGATTTATTTTTTTTCAATTATTTCCCTATTACTTATTTAGTCCTTCAACGGCACAATTCTTGGACTAATTCTTTTTGTGCGAATAATCATACGAATATCATCATCATAATGAATAAATCGTCACGGACGAAAAAACGCATTGCTACATAAAGTCGTGAACAATGGAAGTGGCTGATTGTTCAGTAAACATTTGAACCAGTTGTCTGATTTAGACTAACCAACTAAACGAACGACACCCAAATGTTAGAATTTATGTATAGGCTTATAGTTAAATTGAAACTCAACATGCACGTACAATTTGCATCTTAATCATCCGATTCGGACTAATAATTACATTGGAAACAAGCATTTGGGTTATATCACAATCAACTTTCTAATTTCATCTAACAAATGAGATTATTTTGGTTACCGTTATACCGTAAACCCAATCGGAATATTACCATTTTCCAAGGCCATCAGCTTTGGCACTACAAATGTACATGCATGCAAATCAAACAACACACAACCAAAAAGAAATAGCAATTGCAACGCTCTAGGAGAGAATTAAAGTTGAAGAATCCCATTTATCAAGTATCATCAACTAATAAGCCAACACCCTTACAAACCCAAATCAAGAGAAAAAAAAAAAAGAAAAACTATTTCTTCAGTAATAGCTTCCAAACAGATAGACTATATATCTAACATCCATAAACCTGACATAAAGGTAATGCAAATACTCCAGATATCAATTGCATGCACAAGTTCTCCATCATCCACAAAAACTCCCTAAAACAAGGTTTTAACTTTTACCTAAACAAGGAACAGAGGGTTCATTAATCGTCAGAAACGAGTACGCCTCAGATGTGATCACTAAATGGCAATCGTAGTTATTGAAAACTTGGTCTGGTTAAGTTTCTAAGAAGGTGTTAAATTTGTCAGATTGGCGCAAGTATCAGCTTAGCCATAAAAGGGTATGTGTAACAATCCTAGAGTTAGATGTACCCAGTAAAAAAGAATGCTCAGGCGATTATAACCAGGTATTAGGCAAACACACAAGAAACTCAATACAAGGTAAAGACACTAACTATATGTCATCATAAATTTGTTTCCCCTACTAAAAACAGATAGCAATGTATAACGATCAGGCCCAAATAAGATAGTGATAACCAGTTTTAATGGAACTGCTTTTAAAGGAAACACAAGAAGAAAAGGCTAAAGACACTCACTGGTCAACAAATCTACAAACTTTTAAAGATAGATCCGACATTGCATCTAAACGTTATGAAAGGGAAACAGTAACATGAAAGGACGACACAATCTCACTAAACAGCAGAGACAACAAAAAAACGCATATTCATCTCAAACCTCCTCACTGCTGCTGATTATGCTGATTAGGCGGCGGCGGAATACCAGGACGCGGCGGAGCAAACCCTCCAGGAGGAGCCTGCATTCCAGGACGAGGCGGCCCAGGCGGCGGCGGTCCCTGCATCCCATGAGGCGGAGGAGGCCCCCTCATCATCCCACCAGGCGGAGGCCCCATCGGCCTCTGCCCCCCATACGGAGGCGGCGGTCCACCAAACTGCGGCGGCGGCCTCATCCCGTAAGGCGGAGGCGGACCCTGCGGAACACCTCTCCCCATCGCCGGAGGCCCACCAACACCGAACGGCGGAGGCGGCGGAAGCATCTGCCCCGGAGGCCGCATCACCGGAGGCCGCGAGATCTGAGGCTGCATCATCCCAGGCGAAGGCCCACCAACTCCACGAATAGGCCCACTAAGCCCAGGCTGAGCTTGCACTAAAGGCCCAGTAGGAACTCCACGTCCAGCAGCACGGCCCACTCCAGGCCCAGCAACAATACCCGCTCCCCCAGCCTTGGCACGTGACTCTTCGGGAGGAGGAGGTCCTTCGACAGTCATGGAGATCACTTCTTCCCCTCTTAGCAGAACCAAACCTAACGTGCGCCGATCTTCTCTCTCCTCGTTGATCTTCTTCCCTTTCGCTGGTGGGAGCTTGCGGAACTCCTCGCAGTCGCCGAGGACGAGGTTCATGTGGCGATCGAAGGCCATGAACTTCCCCACGAGCTGTCTTCCGTCTTGGATTGTTACTCGCATCCTGTAGTTTATGAACTGGAGCATCTTGGAGCTTTTCGACATCGACATGGCTGCCGATTCAGCGGTGGAAAAGCCGCGGCGCGGTTGAGGGGAGATTCGGGGGGTGAATCTAGTACGCCGGAGGAGACGAAACGGAACAGATCGAGATATTAATTGAGATGCCGAAATTTCTAGGGTTTATAATTGAATTCACACTCTACTCTTCCTTATGGGCTTCATTTTATAATGGGCCCTAAAGATAAGTTACTGGGCTTCACATCAATATACAAAAAAAGTAAAATGAAATTAATTATTATATATTAAAGTATACTAGTTTTCAAATCTTACAATGAAATTAATTATATATTAAAATCTACTTATTTAAACATCTAGAGTTTTTTTCAGATTTCCTTTGTTATTTTAACAGAGAACCTTTACAAATCCACTAAAATTCATTTTGAAAATTAATTTTTATTACGGAATAACATGTGATTTTAATTCTCTTAAAATCACATATTTATATATTAAAATTTACTAATTTCAAATCAAACAATAGAATTTTGATTATCTATAAGTATTTCAGATTTTTATTTGTTAATAAATTTTCAATTCACCATAATTTATTTTGAAACTAAATCCATAATTAATTCTTATAACTGAATAATATATTTTTTTATTAATAACTTACAGAATTAGTTTTAAAATAATAATAAACTGAAAAACATTGTTTGATATGAATTTCAAAACCCATAAGAATACACAAAACAATATTTATTTCATCATCATCTAATCAAGTCACTGATTAACTCTTACATAAACTGTATCAAGTAAACATAAGTATTTTAATTATTGAACTGTAAGTATGTAATAAATCAACCCCTTTCTATAAGCTAATCTCTCCCATAAAAAAAATTAGAACTCTCTTTTTTGTTTTGGTCTCTTTAAGAAGAAGCATATCCATGAGGATGAGTCTTTTGCCACTTCCAAGCAACCTCAAGACTTTCTTGAAGATTAGTGAAACGAGCAGACCAGCCAAGATCTCTCAGGATCTTTGCTGGATCACTGTACACCTCTGCGTAATCTCCAGGTCGTCGAGGCAAGAAATCTACTTTGATATCTACACCTGTCGCTTTCTTACAAGCTTCCACAAACTCCTTCACGGATCTTCCTTTTCCTGTACCTACATTATAGATTCCCACGTTCTTAGGCTTAGCTTTCTCTAGAGCCTTCACGTGAGCATCGACCAGGTCAGTAACGTCAATGTAGTCACGAACACAGGTCCCATCTCCTGTTTTGTAGTCTGTTCCTTTGACCTGAAGGCCTGGAATCACACCACGAGCTGCATCGAAACAAGCACCTGAAATGCGTCCGTGTTCACGCAGCTCAGGCTTTGGAGCTTCTCCTAATCTACCTTCTGGGTCTGAACCGATCACGTTAAAGTATCTGTGAAAGTCATTAAGATGAATCAGCTCAGAAACAGAGTCGTTAAAGCTTCAAGAAAAAACAGGACACTGAACCTTAAGATCATGACAGCCATGTCAGAGTTCTTAGAGAAATCAAGGATCATATCTTCAGCCATCTTCTTAGCTTTTCCATAGGGGTTAATGGGGACCTGAGAATCGATATTTGCCAAATCTAATGAGACATGATCATGCCAAAGAAAGGGTTTCTTGAACTGTTTGAGAGTGAGTACCTGTGGAGTAACTTCAACAATGGGCATTTTGTCAGGCTCTCCATAAGTGGCACATGTGCTTGAATATATCAACTTCTTCACTTTGTGTCTTGCCACAGCTTCAAGAACTACTAATGTGTTTGATGTTATGTTGTGGTAATACCTAAAGTATGAACATTACGTGAGATTAGACACAAGAACTCAATCAATCTTGCAGAGATGTTATGAACAAAACAATGGCGAGAGATTGTACTTTAAAGGATCTAGGGTGCTCTCTCCAACATATGCTACCGCGGCAAAATGCATAACAGCATCAAATGCATTCTCTGAGAAGATTTTTTCTACCTGATGATTTCGGTTAAGAAAACAAGACCAATGTCATACTATATACCAGGAAAAAAATACTCAAAAGAACCATAGGGGATATGAAGTATTACAGCTTTGGCATCTCCTAAGTCGGCATAGATGAACTGAAGCCTCCCGGGTTCAGGGAACAATCCCTGTAAAACCTTGACAGCACCAAGATTCCCACGAGAAAGATTGTCCTGTTTGTGAGACAGAGATATATCAGTTTCACAAAACCAAACAATGCAGTTTACCTACTTCTCACTAAAGAAAGAAACTTTACCACAATGGTGACACGGTATGAATCCTTGAGCAGCCTCAAAGCAGCATGTGATCCAATATATCCAGCGCCACCAGTGACTAATACATGAGTCACTCCTTCCTCACTACGAGAGAACTATGAAAAACGAAAACAGACTAGAGCTTAAGAGTTAAGATTGCAAAAGAAAACATAAACTAAAAGAACCGTCTAAGAATCAGACTCTCAGGAGACTTGTTTGTTTCAGACATTATGAAAAAAGTAACAGATTAAAGATTACCGCGGTTGGGGAGGAGAAACTTGGTGCGTGCTTGAGCATAATAATGCACAAAGCTGTAAGAGAAACGACCAAGATAACCCTGCCCATGACATTGGTCTTTCTTTTGGGTTCCAAATAATCCATTCCTGAATTTTCAACATTGAATAAAAAGATTGTTCTTTTGAGTTTCTATTACATTTTCTGAGATAATGTCAAAAATAGATAAATAAATATATGTGAATCCTCGTAGACTAACCTCCAGTAAGAGGTCGTGTGTTTCTTCCTTGACTTCTGGCTCTAGAGAAACTTAGCATTTGGGAGATTCAGATGAATCTGAAAAGTTCAAAAAACAAAAGCAACTCAAAATTCTTTTGTTCTTGGTATCGAGACAAAAAAATAAATAAACAGAAACAGCAAAAATGAAGCTGCAGTTTGCTGCTTGGAGTTAAAAAGAAAGTTACTTATAAAACACAGATGAATGAATAAAAGTCAATAAAGCATATATATACATCAATCATCATAGAGGAAAGTAAAATAACATTTGTTGGAATGTGGGACCTCCTAAGAAGAAGAAGAATCAAAAACAAAGAAAACGACAGACAAAAAGTTGAATACATTTATGGAGGAAAAATATCAATTTGCTTTATTAATTATTAAAAAAAAGTCCCAAGTTTGATTATATTATTTAATTTAGATGTTAATTAGGCAGAGCATGTTTGTCACAGAGAAAAGGGTATGAGAAAAGTCACCAAATTTGATCGAGTTTGGTTGTCTAATGAACAAAACCCATCTCAGAAATTACGGATCAGAAGAAACCAGAAATCCACAAAACGTTTTCAAGCTCAATTTCAACAGATACTAACAGTTTTGATCACAATTCTGAAAATGCAGAAATTAGCTTCAAAATCAGGTTGATAATTGAGTAATTAAGGAACAGATTAAGAGACAGAGATTAAGAGAGTGAGAGTACCTGAGAATTTGAGAGAAACGGATTGAGAGGAGGAGGAAGGAGGAGAGTTTTGGTAAGGATGTGTTGAAAAGGGGAAGCAAGAGACGTTATTAAGGGAGGGAGAGAAGAACGTAAGAGAGACTCAAAGAGAGAAAGTAGGAAGAAACGGAAGAAGAAGAAAGAAACGTGCAATGCAAACCGAAACCACAAACTACGACTTGGTCTCCACTCTCTCCTCCTCCCTTCCCTATGTATTTTTTTATTTACCTCTCTCTCTCTCTCTCACCTTATTTTTTACTATTTTCTAATTGTTTGGTAAACATCAGATATATATAAATTCAACTTAATCACAATATCTCTCAATTTTGGTCAAATATATTCCACAATTGATTTACTTAATTGTTATCCTTCTCAAGTCTCAACAAGTGTATGTGACAAAATAAAATAGGATTAGGACATAACCTCTAATACAGATTTTCAGAAAGATAAATTCACAGACGAAACATGAGACTATCGTTGGAAACCAAACTCTTATTTTTCTTGTTGGTCAAATCAAACCTTATTTACCACTTGTTTCTGATGAGAAAGAAAAAAACTCATGGAGAGAAAATGTATCTCTAACTTTAAAAAAAAAAAAAAGGTCAAACAAAAACATTGTCGTTGAACGAATGAAATGTCGACGCAAACGAGTTTTATTCTGGTGCGATTGCAATGATTGTTATGAGCAATCATCCGTTGTGATCTTCATTCTCTATTATTTAATTAAGGGTGTAAAAACAAAATTATTGAAGAGAAATAATAGATGATGATCAAGTTTTTTGGCTGCCTAGTTGTTAGTGACTGCCTAACTATCTAACGTGATTAGCCAACGAATCGTTCCTAGACAAATGATTTTATAAGACATGTTATACAATACTTTACATATATAGTAGTACATAACTATTTCATAATGCATGATCAAGTGATAGTAATTATTCGACAAAATTGTTGATTATAAAAACTTATCTATTGTTTTGAGCTACTGTAATAACTTTTTCTTTGTGAACATGTTTGGGCTCACTCAAGTCAATGGTACAATGGTGTTTATAAAGAGTCTTCACATATTCTGATTATACACTCTGTAATAGATTATTATGAGTTAAATAATGGTCAACTATATTATTATTCCTTTTTTAAAAAAACTAATTTCAAATTAAGTTTCCTGTTAGGCAACCTAGTTTTGGTTGACTTTCTTTTTCTTTCGAATTATATACGTCAGTTTTCAGTATCTATGGCTTAGTTATAAAGCAAACACACAGGGAGACTAGATAGCAAAGGAAATCTACACGATGCCTTGCCTAACCCTAATTTCAGAAATCAACTGGTGAACTCTTTTGGTCATTAGGTCACCTACAACTTTCTGACTCATTTATAACGTAGCTTAGTAGTCTTTGGCAGCTCCTTTATGCAATCTTTAATGAAACTAAATTCTCTTTTCTGAGAGAAAACTAATATTTGAAGGTTTTTCTAGATGTAAATTTTTCTTAAAATTTGAATGTCATAAACCAATGTTTCACTAGGCTATGCACATGACCAGCCATGGTTATGCTTATAAATATTTTGTTTTGTTTTTGCATTTGGTGTTTGGTAGGCAATGCTGACCCTGGAATGAAGCATGTGCTTATACCTTTTGAATACCTATCAATATTTTCACCTTTTTTGCAGCTACACATTATCTTAGATTTGGTTAAAGAACATTAATTCATAGCATTTTAATGTGTCAAAAACTTCAAATCTTTGAAATGCAATCTTTAAATTTATTAATCTTCTTTTATATAAACCAACATGTATTGGCCCATCGATGTTCTGTTTCTTTCAGCCCATTGGGCCAGCTGAATCAAACCGCAGTAATCAATGAGACGTCGTCGTATCAAACATTCAACAAACTAACTCAAGTGAGAATAGAGAAAGAACCGTAAAAGAGCAAAAAAATCGCCATGAAATTACCAAAACCCCCGAAGAATCTCCCCGAGAAACCTCTTAAACCCAATTTCATCCACGGCCACCGTAAACCTTCCCGTAACCGCCCCATCGTCCACGGTGGCCTCTTCTCCAACCGCCAATACCTCTCAAAACACCCACCCCAATCACACCCCAACCTAACCCCCTTCGATCTCCACAAATGGGACCCACAATCTCTCCCCCAACCTCCTCCTCCTTCCTCTCCTCCAACAACCATCTCCGCCGCCTCCGAACGCCTCTCCCCAATCGCGCGATTCGTCCTCGACGCCTTCCGCAAAAGCCAAAACCGCTGGGGGCCCTCCGTCGTCTCGGAGCTAAACAAGCTCCGCCGCGTCACTCCCGCCACCGTCGCCGAGGTTCTGAAAGCCGGATCCAACGCCGCCGTCGCGGCGAAGTTCTTCCACTGGGCGGGTAAGCAGAGAGGCTACAGACACGACTTCGCGTCGTACAACGCCTTCGCGTATTGCCTCAACCGAACGGGAAACTTCCGGGCGGCGGATCAGTTGCCGGAGATGATGGAGTCTCAGGGGAGACCTCCCTCGGAGAAGCAGTTCGAGATTCTGATCAGGATGCACGCGGATAACAAGAGAGGGTTGAGAGTTTATTACGTTTACGAGAAGATGAAGAAGTTTGGGTTTAAGCCTAGCGTGTTTTTGTATAACAGGGTAATGGATGCGTTGATGAAGTGTGGGTACTTTGATTTAGGTTTAGCTGTTTATGATGATTTTAGGGAAGATGGTTTGGTTGAGGAGAGGACTACTTTCATGGTTTTGGTTAAAGGATTGTGTAAAGCTGGGAGAATTGATGAGATGTTTGGGATTTTGCGGAGGATGAGGGAGGATTTGTGTAGGCCTGATGTGTTTGCTTACACGGCGATGATTAAGACTTTGGTTTCTGAGGGGAATTTGGATGGGAGTTTATTGGTTTGGGAGGAGATGAGAGGTGATGAGGTGAGGCCGGATGTGATGGCGTATGGGACGCTTGTTGTGGGTTTGTGTAAAGATGGGAGAGTTGAGAGAGGGTATGAGTTGTTTTTGGAGATGAAGGAGAAGGGGGTTTTGATTGATAGGGAGATATATAGGGTTTTGATTGAAGGGTTTGTAAGGGATGGGAAGGTTAGAAGGGCTTGTGATCTGTGGGAGGATTTGGTGGGGTCTGGGTATATTGCTGATTTAGGGATATATAATGCGGTTATTAAAGGGTTGTGTATTGTGAATCAGGTTGATAAAGCATATAAGCTCTTCTTAGTTGCAGTTGAGGAAGAGCTGGAACCGGGTTTTGAGACTCTGAGTCCTATTATGGTTGCATATGTGGTGATGAAGAGATTGACTGATTTTTTGGATTTGCTAGAACGAATTGGGGAGTTAAGATACCCTGTAGGAGATTACCTTTCACAGTTTTTTAAATTGTTGTGTGCTGACGAAGAGAAGAGAACGATGGCTTTAGATGTCTTTGATGTAGTAAAGACTAAAGGTCATGGTAGTGTCTCTGTGTACAACATTCTCATGGAAGCTCTTTACAAGATGGGGGATATTGAAAAGTCTTTGTCACTTTTATCTGAAATGAGGGATTCTGGGTTTGAACCAGATTCATCATCTTACAGTATTGCAATTAGCTGTTTTGTCGAGAAAGGGGAAGTCCAAGAGGCTTGTTCATATCATGAAAAAATCACCGAGATGTCGTGTGTTCCTTCCATAGCTGCTTATCTATCTCTCGCTAGAGGACTCAGCCAAATTGGAGAAATTGATGCGGTGATGTTATTAGTTCGTGAATGCCTGGGCAACGTTGAAAGTGGTCCTATGGAGTTTAAGTACGCTCTGAGGGTCTGTCATGTATGCAAAGCGAGTAGCGCCGAGAAGGTTATGGAAGTCCTTGATGAGATGAAACAGGAAGGTGTCTGTATAAATGAAGTTATATACTGTGCGATAATCTCTGGTATGTCTAAGCATGGGACAATCAAAGCAGCAAGAGAAGTCTTTGCGGAGCTGAAAAAGCGCAAGGTTATGACTGAGGCGGAAATGGTAGTCTATGATGAAATGTTGGTTGAGCAGACAAAGAAGAAGACAGCTGATTTGGTTCTTTCAGGGATCAAATTTTTCGGTCTTGAGTCAAAACTAAGGGCAAAAGGTTGCAGAATACTCGATTAACTAATGCTTGGGGGGGACTGATAGTCTGCTTTTTTCCGAACAACTGCATAAGCTCTTTTGTGCGTTGGGATTTAGTGTGAGATTACTGATTCTTGAGTACGATTTGCCGAGCCCAACCACGAAAGTTTTGGGTTTTTCCATGAATCGATGTCATGAAAGTGTTATTTTTGGGGTTAATCATACTGGTTGCTGAAGCTTGGGAGGAGACTCTCTATACATTGGTGGGGTTCAAGGGTGATCCAGTGAAGCTTGGGAATCTCTATTAAGATCTGAAGGTGGTTCTATTATTAGAGTGCTTGTAAGGAAGTTTATACAAAAAGTGAAACTCATTTTTCACATAAAATGGCCTTTTAAGTATTAATAATCCATTGTTAGTGCTGCTAACTCACCATATCACTGAACTAGCTCAAATATTTCTGCTATTTTAGATTTCCAAATTTTAGATTCTTTAAATTAAAAAATATTGGCCTGTCTGAAATTGGAATAAAGTTTGGATTTTTATGCCCACCTTTGTGGAAATGGCAGTTAAGTTTCCGTGTCAATGGCGATGAAAAGTGGTTGCCTTTATGATCCATCATCCTCTTTATCACACACATCCGAAAATTAGCAACCGATGCACTACTCTTTCATAATGAACACTCTGGTGAAGACAGGTAGCGCGTGGCTTGTTTCCCCGTCGTTGGCAGCTGTGAGGAGGAGGATGAGTGTAGCTAATTTTGCCACGTCATCATCTTTTTCTTCCTTACCCAATTGGGAAGGTGGAGTTTCCTTGGTCCAAGGAGCTTCCAGAGGCATCGGTCTCGAGTTTGTGAGCCTCTTTATTCATCATCCCATCTTTCATTTCTCTCAAATCTTTTTAACTTTCATTCGGCTGAGATCAGACATTAGATCCAAACTTGGCTGTTTTAAGTTAATCATTTCACGTTTTTTTGGTAGGTAAGGCAGTTGCTAGAGAACAATAAGAAAGGGCATGTTGTTGCCACTTGTCGGAATCCAAAAGAAGCAACAAACCTCGTTAATCTGAAGAACAGCTTCTCCGAGAGGCTTTTCATCCAAAAGCTTGATGTTACAGATGAAACTACCATTGAGGTTAATATTCTCTTCATTCAAATCCGTCTCCAAAGTGAATCTTGTGGCTAAACTACTTGTGTAAAATCTGCTACTACATGGTACTTGTCGGTTTAATTAGGAATCAGCGGAATCAGTAAGAGAAAGATATGGCTCTCTCAACTTACTTATAAATGCAACTGGTATACTATCAATTCCTGGTGTACTGCTGCCAGGTATGAGTAGGTTTTTCATTTGATAACTAATCAAGAGACGTTAGTTTCATGAGTAATCTTTTCCCTTTGATGTCAGTACAGAAACAACATTGAACAAGGTTGAAAAGTCATCATTGATGCTTGCATATGAGGTTAATGCGGTTGGTCCAATTCTAGTAATGAAGGTAAGCACTCATAGTTCTCTCTGCTTTTCTAAAGGAGTTGCCTTTAGATTGTGCTAAACAGAGTGAGAAATGGTTTGACAACAAATCTAAGCAATGAATTACAAACTTTTTGTCTTGGCGCTGTTGTAGCATATGTGGCCACTCCTTAAGGCAGGTGGAGGAAATGGAACCGAGAGGGAAGTTGCTGTTGTAGCCAATTTAAGCGCACGAGTTGGATCAATTGGAGATAACAAACTTGGTGGTTGGCACTCTTACAGGGCTTCAAAAACCGCACTCAACCAATGTACTGCAGATTGTTATTTTGGGGAAGTCTTGATCTTATTGGTATGAACTGAGAAAACAAAACCTTTAATTTCTTTTATTCTCAACTGTTGTTTATGCAGTGACGAAGAATGTATCGGTTGAATTGAGTAGGAGGAAGGATCCTGTGGTATGCATTCTACTGCATCCAGGCACGGTAGACACTGATCTCTCTCGACCGTTCCAAAGAAATGTTCCTGAAGGAAAGCTTTTCACAAAAGAGTACTCTGTTCAGAAACTATTGCACATCATCAACAATGCAAAGAAACAAGACAACGGCAAGTTTTTTGCCTGGGATGGACAGGAGATACCTTGGTGATTCTTTGACTTCTATTGTTATGTCCATCTGAATGTCTGAGAGCAATTCCTTTGAGTGATACTAAATAACCTGGAGTGTGTCCAGAAGTTGAGAGCTTTCTGAGTATTCAATATCATTCCAATCTATTTTTTTCTTGAAACGATTCAATAATTAATGTGATGGTCCAATCTACATTGTGTTTACATTTACAAGCTAATAACTGTTCTCTATGGTCCAGCTATGACCTGGAGTCTTATAGACTCTGTTCTTGTTCATCAATCCTTGAAGAGCTGCAGCTTCATCCCACTGTCTCACAGAAGTATACGTGTTGCTTAACAGAACATAAGCTGCTGAGTTCTGAGGATCTATAGTTATAAGTTTCTCTGCAATTCGTCTAGCCAAGCTCACATCGCCATGGACTCTACATGAACTAAGCAGAATCTCCCATAGAACAGAGCTGTTTCTGTATGGTGTAGCTTCTGCAAGCGCCTCCGCATCTTCAAGCCGGCCAGCTCTTCCAAGACAATCAACTATACATATATAATGATCCAGCTCCGGTTCAATACCATGATCTCTCTGCATAGAACTGAGTATCTCAAGCCCGGTGTCCACAATTCCTGAGTGGCTACAAGCAGTCAACACAGAGACAAAGGTTATCCGGTCAGGCTCCTCTCCCCATGAAATCATCTCTTTGAACAAACCAACAGCTTCATCACCCCGTCCGTTATGAGCATACCCGTGTATCATCTCGTTCCAGAGAACTATGTTTTTAACCAACACGGTATCAAACAACTGTCGAGCAGAATCTATTTCACCGCACTTACAGTACATATCCGTTAGAGGAGTTTCAACAAAGGAATCACTTATATATCCGCTCTTCACAACCTGTCCATGAAACTGTCTTCCATGGAGTAAACTACATAACCTTGAACAGCTACTTAACACAGTAGCGTATGAAGTTTCATTAGGAAACAACACACCAGTCTGAAGCAATCTTCTGAAAAGTATTAACGCTTTTGTGTCAAGCGAGTTGCGACTGAGACCTGCAATCATCGAGTTCCAACAAGCGATATCTAATTCTGTAATACAATCATCAAAGATATGTTCAGAGATCTGTATCTTCTCACATTCAGAGTACACTGCAATAAGACCACTAACTATGTGACTGTTCCTAGAAACATTGGTCCTTATCGCTACACCGTGGATCTGTTTCCCTCCTTCCAGATATCTTAATTTTGCGAATGAGCTTAGTATCACACTCAAAGTTGTTCTATCAGGTTTCAGATTCTGATTCTGCATTACTCTGAAATGGTTTATTACTTCCTCATAGTGTTCAAACTTGGAGTACCCAGAGAGCAAAGCATTCCATGCGGTAACACTAGGGTTTAGCATGCTACTGAATAATCTACTACCAGTTTCAACATCCCCTGAACAAAAGCAAGCTCCAAGAACAGAAGTGCATGTAACTTCGTTCGGTTCAAAACCAGACTCTCTCATTCTCTTTAGATACTCAATAGATTTGTCACTTTGATAGTCCTGACCAAACCCAGCTATCATAATGTTCCAAGAGACTACATTCACTTCACGCATCTCAGCAAATATAACCTCTGCACTATTCATGTCTCCATTCTTTGCGTACGTTTCAAGCAGAGAGTTGTTCAGGTGAAGATCTCCTTCGAACCCTAGTCTCAACATGAGACTATGAATCTGTTTCCCCAGCACATTGCGATAGATTTCACATTCTTCTCGTGGAGCAGAGATGCTTAGAATATTAGACAAGCACACAGGATCCACCCTGACACCTTTCTCGCACATCGATCTGAACATGTGAACTGCCTCTAAAACTTTATTTTCCCGGGCTAACCCGTTGATCACAGCTGTAAAAGACACTTCATTAGCCTCCGATAGACATTCAAAGACCTTAACACCATTATCAACCATAAGCCCACACTTAGCATACATAGACAACAACGCATTCCCAACAAAAGTGTTATCATCAAGACCAACTTTAACAGCAATCCCGTGACATCTCATACCAGTAACACCATCCAAAAGCTTACTACAAGCGCTCAAAACGCTAGCTAACGTGAACCGAGAAGGCGAAAAACCTTGAGAAACCATCCTCTCATAAACAACCAAAGCTTCCTCCTCGAACCGTTTCCGTACCAAAACGCTAATCATGTTGTTCCAGGACACTACATCTCTCTCAGGCATTGCATCAAACACCTCACTAGCTTCCCTCAAATCCCCAACTTTACAACTAAACGTCAAAAAAGCGTTCCACGAGTAAAGATCTCTCTCAGGCATTTCGTAAAACACCTTACGTGCATAACCTTTATCACCACACTCGCAGTATAAATCTAGTAAGCGATTACAGAGATAAGTGTCGCCGAAAAACCCAGTCCGATAGATGGACCCATGAACGATTTTCCCGTAAAGTTTACACTTTTGATCTTTGCAAAGACGTAAGAGATTCGCTAAGTAACGATTACTTCCACTACGCATATTTACTCTTCTCTGTACTAACGACCAATGATTGTGTGTTTATGTAATAATACTAATAAACTAAAATTCAAATGATACAAAATTTATAAATGTTACCTTCCAGTCAGATCATTACACAGATTAATTTGACAAACAGTAAACAATTAATAACCTTGTCGGAAAATAAAGTATTTTTTGTAATAAAATCAAGAAGGGATGATGACGACAGTGCGCATCATGTTCTTAAACTCAAAAAAGTCAACGCGACCATCCTTATTCCGGTCAACGGAAACAATCATCTTCTCTACTCTCTCCATCTCCCCTCCTTCAGGCAAACCAAGCTTCTTCAAAACCGCCTGCAACTCTTTCGCCGAAATAAACCCGTCGCCGTTCTCATCAAACACCTTAAACGCCTCCTTTAGATCCGACTCGTCGTCAGCTGCATCGTCGTTGTCTCCAGCTCCTCCGAAGAAGGAGTCGTCGAGGGTCTTGTGGAGGGAGGAGAAGTCGTCGAAGCTGAGACCGGTGTTACCAGGCTGGATGTAGGATTCGACGGTGGATAAAAGTTCCGAGAGATCAGCGTCGAGACCGAGACGGGAGAGAGCTTGGCTTAGCTCGTCGACGGTGATGAAATTGTCGCCGTTTTTGTCGAATAAGTCGAAGGTGCGTTGGAGACGAAGTGCGTTTAAGCTTGGGCTTCGAAGCCTGAAGGATGATGATTGTTGTATATTAACAACAACTCTCTTGTTATCGCCGTTGCTCTCCATTTATCTTCTTCTTGCTTTGACTACGATGACTTCTTCTTCTTTGTTGTTGTGAGATTATAATCAGTTGGGAGTAAATATAGAGGAGAAACAAATGGGAAGAAGAACACGTTTTTGTCGGCGTTGACTTTGATTTGCCCGCCATGTACGAACTTTTCTATCATTTAAAACGCCCATTAAGGTTAAGAGATATAAATTGAATAATAATGGTGGAAAATTAAAAGGTCGTTTTTTTGTGATCTGCGTCAAATAATGTTAACTTGCTGAAAGAAAACAAACAAAAAAATGTAATTTAGTTGAAAACAGACAAATTATGTTGATCAGAATGCTGCAAAAAAAAAAAATGCTGCAAATTTACCGCAGATTTGTTTGCTTTTCCCGCGCAAAAAAAAATCGAGTTAGAAATATAAAATGTTTCATTCACTAACTTGAATTGATATAGCTAGGGTTTTTTTTTTCAAATCCGAGAGAAGAGATTAATTGTCTTCCATGATGGACTAATTTGGTGGCTTATTAATTACATTACTTTGTAGATTATTATAAACTAAAATTGCTTCAACTTGAGAATACAAGAAACCATATAATGGTTGGTCCCATTAAAGTAACTGTCGACGGCTTTTTCAAATGGGAAACAGACAGGCCACGTCCAAGTTTTTTTCTTTCCATCCGAGTTTTTGACCCGTTCGCACAACCCACTAACGCCCATTTACATGTATTCATCTCTTCCAAGTTCCAACCAACAAATGTTCATTTTTTCTGAAAATTCTCTACATAGTTATAAATTTATAATCATTGAAATTTCAATTTCACTTTCACTAACAAAGTAACACACACATCTGTTTTTAAATCCGTAGAAATCCAAATTTTAAAACTAAATAGTAAAGCTAAAATTCTTCAACAAACCCTAAACCTAAACACTATCTCAATGATGCCTTGAGCTAGACTCATACAAAGAAACCACCAAGTCATAAATCTGAGTCAAGCTCGGTTGCTTCAATGGTGGTTTATCAGTACACATAAGTCCAAGTGTAATCCCTTGCTTAACTTTCTCCAACGTCCTCTCTTCAACCTTCATCTTCTCATCAATCACTCTCTCCAGATTATCAGGATAATGAACTCTTATATACTCAAGATATCTCCTGTCTGAATCTTCTTGTGCCTCATCAGGTCTTAGATTCGTAATCATCTCCAAAAGAAACAATCCAAAGTTGAATATATCTGCAAACCATAAAATACATTTAGGTTTTTAATATTTTTAAAAAATTTCAAGAAGAGAGAAAGTGTCCTTACTTGTTGCTGAGTTGTTTCCATCTCCAATCTTGAACTGAGAAATCAACGGTTCTTGATTACTATCAGACAACAAAACACTGCTTGTACTAAGACCAAGTGTAACCTCAGGCCAATGTTCCGTTACATAAAACAAACCATCTACAACTCCCATAACCACTCTTAATCTCCTCCTCCATGAAGAAGCTAAAGAAGAGTTTAGCCAACTCTCAAGACTCTCTCCACTCCTCCACTCAGTAACCAAAGCTCTCAAGCTTCTTTCATTACACCAACCCAAAACCCTTACCAGATTCTTATGTCTCAACTTAAAAACCGCCTCACACTCCTCAGCGAACTCACGCCTCTTCTCTTTCGAAACCTTCTCTGTATAAACCTCGATCTTCGCCTCCGTCCCATCTCTCAACGTCCCTCTGTAGATATCAACCCCACTGCTCTTGCTCACAAGCTTCTGATCCGAAAACTCATCAGTCGCCGCATCGATCATAGCCGACGTGAACTTGTGACTTCTCCAACACGTTTTAGGTAAGTAATCAGGTCTTTTAAGACACATCCACACAACACAAAAACAGAGGAGGATCACCGTAATCGGAAACACAATCAACAAAACAAGAACCTTCACCTTGTAACGCTTCACATCTGGAAGAACACCGGAATGTAAGAAACTAGAGGCGTTGAAGCGTTTGAAGAAGTCAGAGTCAGAGATCTTATCCTCGGAGAAGCGGTTATAAGAGAGGTTCAAACGCGTCAAGTTCGTTAAACCGGAGAGGTTCTGAACCGGGACGAAACCGGTTAACTGGTTGTAACTCAGATCAAGGGTACGAATCTGAGCGCAAGAGAGGACGTTGGTCGGAAACTCGGTGTTGAGAGAGTTGTTGACGAGGTCGATCTCGACGACGGTTAGAGGACAGTACTTCCAGAAGAAGTCGAAGGAGAGGTAGAGAGCGGCGGTTTTAGGGCGGCTGTGGATTCTGATTTTGGGGAAAGATTCGACGCAGTTAGGGTTTTTGGATTCGTTGCAGAGGTGGCTGGCGACGATGGTGGAGCGGAAGATCTCGATTATGTCTGTTGGAGATGAAGTGTTGTTGCAGTAAGGGAGGAGTGGGTTGCGGTTGCAGTTTGTGGTGATGGTGTTGGTGAAGTCTGGAGGTGGAGTTAGGTTTGCGAGGTCTTCTACTACTGTCGCGGAGAGGACTGAGAGAGGAAGTGTAGTGAGGAGGAAGAAGATGAAGAGAGGAGACGCCATTGGAGAGAAAGAAAAGTAGTTTTGCTTTTTTGGTGAGAGAGAGAAGCAGAGAGGTTAGTTATTTAGAGGTGTTGGCGGTTATTTATTTTTTTGAAACAGAGTGGGAACTGGGAAGCCCACGATGGTGATCGTGTGCTGTTTGGTAAGCTTAAAAGATGTATTTAATAAATACGAAATTTCTAATATTTACATTATTTTTTTTTTGTGAATTTTTTTTTGTTTACATTATATTTTGTTTAATTATCAACTAGCTCTTTAAACAAAATCATGTATATATTTGAGATTTCGAATTTTGTTGATGAAAAATGTAGTAGTCATCGGATCAAGTTATGTTTGATGACAAAATGTTTAACATTAATATCTGAGAAAGAAAAAAGTCAAGCAAATTCATACAAACATCTCTCATAACTCATAAGGCGCATGTCATTTCTAAATGGTCTATTTAAAGAAAACTAAATATACCATAGTTTAAAATAGTAATTGTATATGTTATTAATTTTTCTTTTTATAAAACTATAAAATAACGTTATTTACATATTTAATTCGATTATGTATAAATTTAAATTGTATACTCTTATTAGTCAAGTCTGATGCAGTAATATCAGATTAGTAATGTTTTTAGTTAATGCATATGCAACAACATTAAATTTATTACGAGCTATGTTATTTGAGATAATATCAATCTTTCATCAATGTATTGCATTGTTAATTGTCAGTGCTTTGAGATAATATTTACAGTTTTTATTATTTTAATACAAAACATTTTACCATAGCTGATTCTGAATAAAAATAATTTTGCCAGCAGAAAACAACCTTAATTTTTTTTTTTTTTTTAAATTGCTTCAAACACAACCTTAATTCTTAAATATAATAATGAAGTTTCACCAATACGTTACATGCAGTTTTATATTCTGTATGTTTATCAAAAGAAAAACCTATATGACAAATTAATTCAACTGCTGAAGTAATGTTTTTTGCAGATTTTTTTATTCTACAAACTGAAACCATTTGCTACAACAAATATCTTGGATCGGAGTTTGCTTTTCTACATTCTTTATCAGAACATACTGTATTTGATATGTATCATCTTCTCTGCACTTATTACACTCTTCAAAATAAAATAAAAAATGAAGGAAGTACATTGTGTTATATTTCTTGTTCTTGTTTCAGTTTCATATGCAAAAGTAACGAAACCTAATACTGATAACTTCCTCCGATGTCTTCTTTCTCGGACAAGTCCAGAGAATCCGATCACCGACACCATCTATACACCTAATAACTCCACCTTCGTGACATCTTACGTGTCCTACACGAAAAACAAAAGGTGCTCAAACCCTAACGATACAAACCTAATAGCTATCGTTGCTGCAAAACACGAATCCCATGTTCAAGCAACTGTGCTCTGCGCAAAGTCCAACGGAGTCCAGATCCGAACCCGTAGCGGTGGTCACGACTTGGATGGCCTCTCCCACGTCTCCTCTATACCTTTTATCATTCTCGATATGCACAATCTCAGGTCTATAACCATTGACGTGACCAACAAGAAAGCTTGGCTTCAAGCAGGTGCCATCTTGGGAGAGCTCTACACCAAAATCGCTGAAAAGAGCAAAACGCTAGCGTTTCCAGCTGGTATTTGCCCAACGGTTGGAGCAGGAGGACACATCAGTGGTGGAGGATACGGTAATCTCATTAGAAAACACGGTCTTTCGGTTGATCATGTCGTTGATGCTCAACTAGTTGATGTCAACGGAAAGATCTTGAACCGTGCCTCCATGGGAGAAGATCTGTTTTGGGCGATCAGAGGCGGTGGAGGTGCGAGCTTTGGTGTTATTCTCTCGTATACAATCAACCTAGTTGAGATTCCAGAGACTATAACGGTGTTTAAAGTCAACAAAACATTAGAACAAGGAGGCACTGATGTTCTGTATAAATGGCAGCTTGTCTCTAGCAAGTTGCCTAGAGAGCTTTTCTTGAGAGCAATGCCTGATATCACAATCGTAGCGAAATCTAAAACCATCGCGGTTAAGTTCTACGCTCAGTTCTTAGGCTCAGCCAATAAACTAATGAAGATTATAAACAAGAAGTTACCTGAACTAGGGCTAAAACGTGAAGATTGCTACGAGATGAGCTGGCTTAACACGACGATGTTTTGGATGAACTATCCGGTTGGTACACCAATGAGCATTCTTCTGGAGAGACCATCGGATCCACCAGGACAATTCTACAAGGGCAAATCGGATTACGTCAAGAAACCGATACCAAAAGAAGGTATGGAGAAGATGTGGAAAACAATGTTGAAGTTCAACAATGTGTGGATGCAATGGAACCCTTACGGTGGCGTGATGGACACGATTCCGGCAAATGCAACGGCGTTTCCTCACAGGAAAGGGAACTTGTTCAAGATTCAGTACTTTGCGTTATGGAAGGATGCAAATGCTACGGATGTTAATCTAGGTTTGATGAGAGAACTCTATGGTGTGGCGGAGCCGTACGTGTCAAGTAACCCGAGAGAGGCGTTTTTGAATTATAGAGATGTGGATGTTGGGAGCAATCCTAGTGGAGAGACGAGTGTTGAAGAAGCTAAGATCTATGGATCCAAGTATTTTGTTGGGAATTTGAAGAGGTTGATGGATGTTAAGGCTAAGTGTGATCCTGATAATTTTTTTAGGTACGAGCAGAGTATTCCTCCTCTTCTTGCAATGTAATTACTATTTTTGGGGATTTTTATCTGAGCATATCATGAAGCTCATGCAATTTGCATAACATATTTGTAATACTTACATTATATGATTGTCTGTTTTGTGATATTATACAATGATAAATAAGAAAGTTTCAGACCGTTTTATTTTCTTTTATCTTTGCATAACATAGCATATCTTTCTATTTCCTAAAGATAATTACTTTCGTTTTTTTATCAAAAAATAAAAATTTATACAATTTTTATTATTTTATAATAAAAATTTGTAACATTTAATAACATTTAATTGGACTATATTTATTTAATGTTATTGAAAATTGAAAATCATAGGAAGTGATACATATATGATATGATGCATTAATGTGTTTTCTTAATACAAGTGAAAACATAAAGAAATAAAGTAAATAGTAAATACCACTAACTAGAAAATTCTTAAAATCCAGATTTACTACTACTATCTTTAATCAATAAAATTAAATAACAGATTCTCATTAAACAAAACTAAGGTGTGTTTCTTGGATAAACTAATGAAGTTTCACCTCACTTGTTAAATCATAACAGATTCTCATTAAACAAAACTAAGATTTGTTTCTCGGATAAACTAATGAAGTTTCACCTCACTTGTTAAATCATACTCCCTCCGTTCTGTTATACTTGACGTTTCAGGAGATGGCACACAAATTAAGGAAGCTAATCTATTGTCTATTTTGTCCTTCTTTATCATTGTTTTACTTTAATTTATTCTTGATCGTAACATTAATTAGTCAATGTTACTAATCCCAATCCGTTAATTTCTCACAAATGAATAAATGCTCAGTTAATTTAG